GGGGCGAGGATCGGGGCGTGGGGGACTGAAAGGGGCAGCGAGCGGGTGGGGGGTGGGAGCTGAGTTCCAATCGAAGGCTGCTTCTTCGCCAAGTTGTCAGCAGCTAGCTCCCCCCGCCCGCAACGCTACACACACACACACACACACACACACACACCCTGTGGTGTCCGTTTGTCGTCTGGGATTTATGTCCCAACTGGTTCTGCCCAGTGTGTAAATATTTATGGGGCCTTAAAAGAGCGGGAGTGGTGGTGGGGGGTGTGGGGGTGTGTGTGTGTGTGTGTGTGTGTGTGTGTGTGTGTTCTCCCTCTCTCCCCAACCCAAAGGGAGCTTCCCGAAAACTTTTGTCAGCCTTGAGCCTCTACAGGACATGATCCCTCCTCCCCCTCCCTTGCCCTCTGCTCTCCCTCTTTTGCCCTTCCTGGGCCCACCCAGACCCCAAAGCAGCACGCACACACACACACACAGCCAGTACCCAGTACCCAGTAACTCCAGTGGAATGGTACATCCTCACCCTAGCCCAGGAGCCTCCCACCCACTGTGGCTCTCAGCCCACACCCCTCTCTGTAGCATCTGTAAACTAAGCCCGCTGGGTCAAGAAGCTTCTTCGGGGATTTGTTGAGGGAGGGAATGGGGTGCAGGAGCGACTCTGATCCCACCTCTAGGAAGGTCTGCTTCTTTTGTTTACCTCTCCCACCTCCTTTCTCTCCCCACTCCCTCCCTCTGCTCTGACTCCCTGGATAATGCACGCCCTAGCCCTGGGCCACCACCTCGTGTGCCTCTTTCCGTCATTGTCCATCTCCACATCTACCCTCAGGGGTTTTCTGCCTGTTTAAAAGGCCGCTGCCCCAGTGTGCTAGTCTCTGGTCCACCTGACCTGGCCACTGACCCTCTGGCCCTAAGGATTATAGAGTTGGGGGAGGGGGGTCTCCTAAACTGGAGTGGGGACAAGTGGTGGAGTCGGGTGGGGGTGGGGGGTCAGTGCTTCGTCTGGGCTCTGCTGGACTGTGCATCTGCTCATGCTCAGGACCCTCATCTCCCTGTGGGCAGCCCTGGGATAGGGGCTGGTGGGGAATAGGACAGATGGTGGTGGAGGGGCCTAGGGCCTGGGAAGGGTCTTCCTCTGTGCCTGGAAGCTTCCTCTCTCCCTCTCAGCCTTCTTCCCCTCCTCTTTCCCAGCCCCTCATCTTGCCCACTCTCTCCATTCTCTGGGCTCTTGCCCCCTCCTTCCACAGCCCCCCTCCCTAGCTTGACCTATTCTCAGCTCCATCAGGGGGTGGGGGCGCTAAAGGGGCTCAGGGAAGTCCGCAAGGCTCAGGGTGGGCCACCGGGAGGGTTAAGACCTGGACTGTAACTTGAGCTCCCATCTCCCCCAGTCCTCAGCAAGCCCCCTCCCCAGCCTGGGCTGGGCCAGACAATGCCGCTTTTATAACACAAGACGCCTTACTCGGCTACTGCTGCCTTGGGAGAATGAGCCGGCTGCCCAGGAAGCCCAAACCACAGGAGACGCAGCCAAAACCCCACAGACGCCTGAATCCAAGACCAGAATGCCCCACACTCCCTCCTGAGCGCTGACAGTAGAGCAAGGCCACAGCATTGCCCCCTGGGGCCCGGCTGGCAGCACAGCCCTGGAGCCCAGGCCCCTCCCCCAGCTGCCCAAGATGTAAATGGGGCACCGGGGTGCTCAGGGCTGCTCTGCCTGGGGCAGGTGGCCAAGCCCCCACAACCCTTGGTTTCCCCAGTGGCCTCTCCTGACCCACCCCGAGAGCCCCAGGAGCCTGGCTCCTGAACCTACACTGATCTCTGCTCAGCACCGGGGCGGCGCATTCCTGCTCTTGGTTCTAAATTGAATTTCCTGGGGAATCGGAGCCTTCAGACCTAAAATAAAACCAACCTGACCCAGCCAAGCAGCCAGCCCAGGCCTCTCCAAGTCAACAGCCGGATGGCCTGGGACACTGACCAGTGGGTTCACACGCACATGCAGGCATAAGGGAGTACCCAGTCACCAGCATTCTTGGGGCTCAGGACCAGACGCCACCCAAGTGCAGGGCCTTCCCCCGATCTTGCCTTCCCCTGACTGGGCCCTGCCAACTCCAGAGTGTACCAGCTGAGGCGCTTGCTGGTACAGAGCTGGAAACCAGCACAGCGCCCCCATCCCCACCCCGCCCAGGCGAGGGACTTGGTGGTGACGATGGTGTGGGTGAAGAGCTTCACTACCAACTTCTAATGAACAACAGGCGCCACTGGGTGCTAAGGGCTCAGCAAGTGCATCCCGGGAGCAGAGACTGTCAGTGGGGGGCTCTGTGGGACATGATGACATTTTAGTTGGGTCATGAAAGTGGGATGGATGTGGGGCGTGGGAGAGAAGGGAGGAAGGCCCCTTTCGTGGAAGGGACAAGACAAGCATGAACAGTCTGATCAGAAGGTCCTGGGATGAGTCAGTTCGCCTGGATTACAGGGTCCTGGTACGCCAATTAGATTGAAGATGTAGACTAGCCCTTGAATGCCTGGCCAAGGAGTGGTTGGAGAATGAGTCTTGGCTTTCACTCTCCAGAGATGTCGGGGTTCTGAGAGGAAGCCCGGACTCCTTAGGACAATGGGGAGGGCCGGATTAGAGAGCCCTGGTGCTGAACTGGCTTCTTTCAACCCACTGTTAGTGTGAACCGCACACACCTGGGAGAGGCTCCTTTCTCTGTTCCTTCTGGGTCTATGACCACCCCTCAGCTTGGTGGCAGCAGTTAGCCCAGAAGGTCCCTGCTGCAGCTACAAGGGTCTCAGCATTGTCTGCTCAGGCTTATAGATGTCAATGTGGCTCTTCCACTCCCTGTGAGGCTGTCTTTCTAGAACTCCCGGCAATGACTACAGGCAGAGCTCACGTGGGCCTGAGTTTCATGGTGGGGTGGGGCTGGGGGGAGAACAACTGCTTTTCTGCACTTCCCCCTTGTGGACAAGGGCCTCTCTGCATGACACCTCTCTGCAAAAATGAGACCAAGGTGTCCCCCACCCCCACTCCCTGGTCAGATGGAGTAGGTGTGCAGTTGGCCAGCAGGTGGCCCCGACTTGAATTCCAGACTCACCTGGTCAGCCTCTTACAGGTGCCTTCAAGCATACCCACTGGGCCTTTGCTGCCACCCCTTCCCTCCAGCCCCCCACATGCCTACCCCCTGTGGGTGTTTCTCCCCACTGCGGCCAGGCAGTGGTGTCTCTCGCTCACAGAAAGGGGAGTGGGGCTCTTTTGACCTCTTGATGCGAAGGCCCTTGGACTTTCCCTCCCGACCCTGTGCACTCCAAGCCCGAGCCGCCTCCTGGGCCTGGGTCTCAGAACCTGGACCCTCTGTAGCCCTGCCCCCCTTTATAGGAATGCTCCCTTATCCCCTCGTATTTGGCTCCCGTGTCTCGGGGCATGCAGCACAATATCCTCAGCTACCTCAGATGCTCCTCTGTGGCCCTGGATGTCTGGCCCTGTCTGTTTCTCGCTCAAGGTCCCAGACTTGCTTCTCTGTTCTCCCTGCAAGGGCTGGTGGGGACCCTGCGTCTCAGCTCTCGGCTGGCTGGGCTGTTCCACCTGATTCAAGGCTGGCAGCCGTGTCAGTGACACCGATGAGAGGCTGCTCCAGACAGCGGGGACGATTTGGGTCTTCCTCCCCATCCTCGCTTTCCCACCCTTGAGGGCCAAGAGAGCAGAAATCCTGGTTCATTCCAGGACAGGACTGACCGTGTCCCCTTGGGAGAACCCCTGGAGAATGGCCGCAGGCTCCAGCCAGCACCCTCGGAGACCCATGGTTTCGCCCATCTGCCCTGTAGCTGTTCACCGCTGCCCACTCTAGGGACTTGTCCCTGCGCTGCTATTTCAAAATACCCCCTTTCCCCTTCTTTGCCAATTGTGGTTTGCACACAAAGTCCAACCCGAGCTTGGAGCTTCTAAAACCTCCTCACTCCAGTGTTTTTGATGACCCCACCACCGGGGCAGTCTGGATTCCCAGTTCAGGGCCTGAGGCCCTGAAATGCCCCAAGGGGCCAGAGTAGGGGACCGGGAAAGCCCCCGCCCTCCCTTGGAATGCAGACTGAAGTCCAGCTATCCTTGTCTTGTCACCTGGTCTTAAGTCAGCTCCCCCTGCGTCCCGTCTTAGCTGGGCCAGACCAGACTCAGGCCTGCAGAGGCATGGACCAGATGTGGAGAACACCACTTAGCAGGCAGCATATTCGTCCTTGTGGGTCATCCCCCCCTGCCTGCACCCCCTTGTCCCTAACAACAGTAGGATTTGGGGGAAATGAATGAACAAGGTCTGTGGTTCGAACCCATCAGCTGATCTGCAGGAGCAAAGAGCAGGTCATCCGTTTTGGGGACGATGGCGGCCGTGGAAACCCCGTGAGCTGGTTTACCCCGTGAGCTGGTTTCCCCCGTCAGAATCCACTGGACAGCTCACAGCAACATCCACCGTGAACCTGGGTGGTGAAAGGGGATGGAGCCCTAATGGTGCAGTTAGTTGGGCCTGAGAGCCTCTTGGTCGGCAGTTCAAAACCACCACCAGCTCCTCAGTCTACTGGGCTTTCTACTACTGCCAACAGTGACAGTCTCAGAAACCCACAGTGGGGTCGCTGTGAGCCAGCATAGACGCAGTGGCCAGGAGTGTGGCGTGGTGCTGTCTCCTTTCATACTTCGTAAACCCTAAGCAGGAACTTGGCCTATCGTCACGTTCCTGGGACTGGACAGTGGGTCCTCTGAGTGCTGTCCTACAGGGGGCTGGCTATGCCTCCCTCCCTCCCCAGCTGGGTTACTCTGCTAGCCTTTGGCTACTCTCCGGCCCCTTCTCTCCTGTTCTCATCTTTGGACCCTCCCCCGCCACACCTGCCCCTTCTCCATGTCTTCCCAGGAACCGTCTTTCCCTGTGGGCTCAGTTGCTTCCATGCAGAGAGCCATGCGGCCCGGTGGCACCGCCAAACCGTAACCAAACACACTGGCGTGGAGCCCATTCCGATTCACCATGACCCCGTCGGACTGGGTAGAACTGCCCCCCCCACCATCCCTGCCCTAGTCTCTGAGACTTAACTTTTTACGGAAGTCGAACGCCTCGTCTTCCTTCCACAGAGTGGCTAGTGGTTTCGAACTGCCGGCCTTGTGGTTGGCAGCCCAACCAGGGACTCCTGGACCCATCCATTTCCTGAGCCATACAGTCCTCTCACTCAGTCCTTAGGGAGAAACCTGCTTTGGAACGTGCCCTGAGGGTGATGGAGGGGATGATTGGCCCCTTTCCATGATAGGAACTCAGACAGACCAGAACCAGCTGCCCCCTCCAGAAGACCACCCCTGCTGGAGAACCTGACCTGCCTCCTCCCGCCCGCCTCTCCGTCCCTCTTTCTCCCACCATCCAGGCAGTGTCCAGGCTGTCCCCTCTCCCTCAAGCTCTCAGGACAAGCCAGTCACTCCCAGATGCCCACACTCCCTTCTAGGGACTCTGCTGCCCCACTATCTCTCCACTTCAGGCCTCAGCACCCCATGGGCTAGAACACAAGCCTTGACGTGGGGCTCCAGGCCCAGAGAACAGAAAGGGTTCAGAGATCCCGCCCCCTGCCTCCCTGGGGCAGAAGGGAGCACCCAAAGGGGCTCCCAACAGGTAACTCTCCTGCCTAACCAGTGTCCCAGAAGCCGGGCCCTGTCCGTGGCTCCTCTCCAAGCTGGGCCTGCGTTTACCTTGGGCAGCAGCGGTGAGCACACTGCCTGGGCCTGCCTCCCTCTCTACACTCACCCTGCCCAGTCCTCGGGGACCAGGGTCTCTGGAAGGAGGGTTCCACAGGGGTCTTTGGAGAATGCTCAGACCCATGGGAGAAGCAGAGGTGCTGGGTCACCCCACTAAGGAGGTCTCGTTCCCACCCCGAGCCCCGTGGGCCCAAGCCATCCCGGAGCCTCCCTGTCCCGCGCCTTTGGAGCCCCTCGCCCTGTTCTCCCTGCTGGAATCCACTCCCAGGACGATCCTCCTGTGATGGGTGCTGCTCCTGGACCCCCTGTGTTTCTCTGCGGGGAGCTCCTGTCGCTCCTGCTGCTTCTCTTCGGGGGCACCCTGTCACCCTCCTCTACCACCTGGGCTGAGCAGAGGCTAAGGCGGCGCCCTGCGAGCTATAATCATCCCCTCAACTTTACAGTGGCCGAGCGGATGGGGTGCCTACTCCCCACCTCTTCCACCTCCCACCATCCCCCAGAACTATTCTCCCCTGGGCCTGGGGGGTGGGGGGTGGCCCAGCCCTGCCGATGCTTCCTCTGCAGTTGTGGGTTCGCAGGTAGCTCCATTTCTGCCTCCCGCCCACCCTGGGCAGAGGGACCGAGTGCATGACTGTAATTACGTGTGGTTGTGGCTTGCCTCTTCCCCAGCCTCCTGCCTCCTCGCCCTCCTCTGGACTCCATTCATCCCTCTGTCTCCTCTCTCTCTCTTTCTCCTCATCACCCACTCTCTCTCCCCCCAGTGGTCCCGCCGCCTGTCACCAGCCCTCTGGCCAGGCCCAATCTCCCGCACTCCTGGGCACTCCGTGTCCCATGGCTCCTGCGTCTCCCTGTCCTGTCACGCTCCAAGCCTGTGCCTGTCACTCCGTCCTCTCCGACTCGGTGTTTGTACCGCTGTCCCCTGCAGCACATCTCAGACCCGTCCATCCACCATAGGCCCCCGTAGGGCACACCCAACATGCACGCACATACACAGAGCCCACAGGCACACGCACGCATGTGCACACCTTCGCTCACCCCCAGGTTGTGGGCAAGAGCTTTCTACTTGGGGGTCTCGCACTGTTGCCAGATGCAAGATAAGGGCTGAGTACCGGGACCAAGAGACTGAGAATGGACACCCCCCCGGGAATTCTGGGCACCAGGAAAGCCTGCCTCAGTCAGCCATCTGCTTTTCCCTAGCCCAGAGCCTGCCCCTCCTATCTGGGTTGGAGGTAGTAGCGGGACCGGCTCACCCTTCGGAGGCAGCACCAGAAGAGGGCGCCCTGGAGGAGGAGGCACCCCCCATGCCCCAAGACAATGACCCTGAGGCCCCCCAGGCCCTGGACAGCACTGACCTCGACGTCCCCACAGAAGCTGTGACATGTGAGTCTTACAGGGCTGGGAGTTAGGGTCCGTGCGACATACAGGGAATTCGATCCATAGAGAATTCGATCCAGATGGGTTGGCAGAAGTGCAGCGGGTGCTTACAGTTGCTGCCCGGGGCTGGGCTGTGCTGGGCAGCACTGGGCAGTGCCTGGTGTGTCTTGGAAGAAGACCTCCACGTGGGGGGTGATGGAGTGAGACAGGCTGGGAGCACCAAGGGTCAGTGGGAGAGCAGAGGCTGGATGGACAGGGTCGGGGGCTGGGGGGGGACAGGGGGGAGTCCAATACAGCCCATCCAGCTGGGCACCATGGGCAGAAAGGAGGAGAATTTGGTTTATTCCCGAGCATAGTTTGAGGTCTCCAGGACTCTCCCATCCTACCCCACCCCAGAGCAGGGGAAGGGGCAGCTGGCACCCCTTCTCGCTGACTGATGAAGATCCCCAAATCTGTAGAAGCAGCCCCACACGTTAGCTGTCTTTCCCAGAGTGCTCTGACAGGCTCCCAGGCCAGCCCGTGGTAGGGCAGCAGGGCAGCATTACCAAGCCCGTTTTACAGACAAGGTAACTGAGACAGCAGACCCTGGCCTGCCCCGGTCACCAGCCAGGGAAGTCGGGCATCCTGGCCCAGTGCTCTCTCCTCTGCCCGCCCTCCTGCCCAGCTGGCACAGCTGAGCGGGAGCCGCCTTCGGCCAGGGCATCTGGGGCTAAGTTGGACTCCCTGGAAGTTGAGGTGACTTGAGTCCTGCTCTCGCCCTGCCTGAGGCCTCCCCCACACCCCCCCCCCACCCGCAGAATTGCGAGAAAGAGGTCAATGCCATGGCCACAAGCAGAAGGACTGCATGGGAGCCGGACAGACGCGCCTGTGTCTAGGGGCCCGGGTGTTTTCTCTGTGACTCAGCCCCCACCCCTGCCTGCGCTGCCACCCCTATGGCTGCTGCCACAGACAGGCTCTGTGTCTGCCCCCACACTCCCGCCCACTGGTCACCGTGCCTGTGCTCAGACAGCAGTGCAGGGGGCACTGTGGCTGGCCAACGACGCCACTCAGACACCCTCCGAGGGGCCAAACGGTGGGAACATAATTCAGGCCTGGCCTCTTCCCCTAGCCTTAGCCCTGTTTACCCAAATGCAAGGAGCAGCCACGCCCCAGGACCCGGGGCATGGGCGGGGCCCATCCAGAGAACCCTGTCTCCCACGTGCCCTTGCTGCCCATCTCTCTGCACCCCCTCCGGCCTCCACGTCTTAGCTGTGGGGTCTTCTCTGGGCCTTCGTTTCTCTCATCTGTGAAAGGGGGTCCGTGACAGAGCCACCCGGATGCTTTGAGAAGTGGCCGCTCTCTGTGCAGGTCTCAGCACGGAACCTGGCCCATCATAACTGCTCAGGGAAAGAAGAGTCAGCTACCAGTTGTGAGCACGCTTGTAGGGTAGACGGAGCCTGTCCCATATTCCCCGGGTCTCCAACCTCTCTGCCCTCACCTCTGTCTCCTTGTCCTCTGAGTCCCAACTCCTGGGCTCCAGGCTGGTCCCACCTTTGTGACTTACTTGCTGTGTGGCCTGGGGAGAGTTACTGGGACCTGGTGCCTCATCTATCAGGTGAAGACCATAATCAGGTGCCACGCGCCCGGGGAGCCGGGGAAGGACCACTACTCTGCTTAGCATGGAGGCTGGCCAGCAGGAAGTGCACAGCGCATGGCCACTGCCACACACACACACACACACACACACACACACACAGCCTTTGGGGTATCAAGGACACCTCCTTCCAATCACAATTCAAATCCAGTGGCCAGGGCTGCAAAGAACTGGGGATCCAGACCCCAGCACCTGAGGGGCTGAATTCAAACAATACCCACTGTCATCCAATCCATCCCGACTTAGAGCAACCCTGTAGGACAGGGTAGAACTGCCCCCCACCCCACCACCCCCGGAGGTGGAGGGGGGAGACTGTGTGTAGCTCTTTAAGGAGTAGAACGCCCCATCTTTCCCCTGCAGAGCGGCTGGTGGTCTCAAAGTGCTGACCTCACAGTTAGCAGGCCAACTCGTAACCACGACGCTACCAGGAAGCGCCCTGTAAAGTGTCTCCTGGGCCAGAGGGCGCTGGTCCAGGAGCAGCCACGCCCCCAAGACACAAGCAGCCACCCTCCTCTTCTGAGAGCAGAGCCCGTGAGCATCCCTGAGTGCAGTGCCGGAAGCAACAGGGCTCTTTGGAAAGAGTTCTCATGGCGTAAGAGGCTACGCACCGAGTGGCTAACCTCAGGGTCAGTGATTCAAACCCACGAGCTGTTCCTCGGGAGAAAGATGAGGCTGGCTGCTGCTGCTGCCGCTGGAAAGATTGAAAGTCTTGGAAACCCAGAGGGGCAGCGTTCCCCTGTCCTACAGGGTCACTCTGAGCTGGAATTGACTTGATTGTAGCTAGTGTTTGATTTTGGGTTTAGGGTCTGCTTCTCTGTGTCCCAAAGACGTTTGGCCCCTCGGCCGAGGTTGGAATCCCCCATCAACTTCCCTCTTTCTTCCTCGTCGTCCCTCCACTCCCAACCTTAGGAACCCTTAGGACCCCTCACCAAACCCATTCTGCCAGATGCCTCCCACAGAGGCGGCAGGGACAGGCAGCGGGGGCGGGGGCTGCACAAGCAAGCCTGAGAGGAAGGAGCAGGAAGGAGCGGGAGACAGAGGGGCTGCTGTGAGAGGAGCCCCTGGCTTCCAGGGGCTGTGTGCTCTTCTCCAAACAGATGTTCCCAATAAATCAAGCAGCACACCATGGGCAAAAACAGCTGGGGGCTTGGCGGAGGCTGAGATGAAGGTTAACCGCTTCCTTGCTGGCCTCCCCAACCCAGCCAGAGTCTGCAACATGTGCCCACAGCGATTGCCCCAGCCCCAGACTCCCAACGTGGGGCGAAGAGGCCTCCTGGGCAGGGCCCGGGGCTCAGGCCCTGCACCCCATCTACTCTGGGAAACCTCGATGAGCACCAGCCTTCGCGTGGGGCGATGCCCGGCTCCACTGCCGTGGGGCAGAGCTTCTGGCAAGGCTGGTCTGTTCTCTGGCCTCAGTTTCCCCCTGTGCACAATCGAGGGCTGGCTAAGTGACCTGCTGTGTGCCTCGGGCTAGAGCAGGGCTCTGGGGAGCTGGGCGCACCCCCTCCCACTTTCCTCATCACCTTCTCTTTCATCTCCCTAGGCCAGCCTCAGGGGAACCCCTTGGGCTGCACCCCACTACTGCCGAATGGTTCTGGCCACACCTCAGAGCTGGACGACACCAGGTGCGCGGGGAATGGTGCCCTCAGAGGCCCCAAGGCCACCCGGAAGTTGCAGGCGCATCCATCTCTCGCCAGCCAGGGCAGCAAAAAGAGCAAGAGCAGTAGTAAATCTGCCGCCTCCCAGATCCCCCTGCAGGCACAGGAAGGTAAGCGCCACGCCCACCCTCTCCAAGCCCCGCCTCCTCAAAGCAGGGTCTGCAGACCAGCAGCCTGACACCATCAGGTGAGGAGTGCATCCCCGGCCCAGGAACCTGTGCTGGGGCAAGCCCTCTGGAGTCTGGTCAGCACACTCCAGTGGGAGAACCCTGCAGCACAGACTTGTGGAGCTCCTTGGGGCCGGCCACCCAGGCCCGGCCCTCCCCATTCCTGCCTTCTCAGAGTCTCTGGAATAAGGAACGGAGCCACTTGGACTGATACAAGACTAAGTCAGAGCAAACTGCAGTCCAGTCCAGTCGGTTCCGACTCCTGAAGACCCCGCAGGACAGGGCAGAACGGTCCCTGTGGGTTTTCATAGCTATAAATCTTTATGGAAGAAGAAAGCCTCATCTTTCTCCTGGAGTGCAGCCCGTAGGTTTGAACCGCCAACCTGAGACCCGATGCAGACTACAATTCCCTCTTTCTGTAAGCAGAGCGATTCCGGGAGGGGTGGGCCATCCGTTTAGTGAGCACGGATGATTGCTTAGCAAGATAAAATGATGCCTGGCCACGGGCTGAATCAGGGGCAGGGGACTGCGTGGGGCAGGAGGGGGTTGAGGGCTCAGAGACACCCGACGTTCGTTGACCTGGGGACACACAGGTCCTCTGCAGGGCCTCCCCGGGCAGCCAGAGCCCAATGCCTGACCTGACATCAGTTCCACACTGGGCAGCAGCCGCCTGAAGCTCACTAGCAGCTGATCATCAGCCCAGAATTTAATTCCTGCCTGTGGTGAGGGACCCTTTACAAAACAGGATTCAATACCCAGTCATCCTATGGACAGACACATCACTTGTTCTGAAACCCTCCCACCTCATAGAGCAGGGTCTGCCCCACAGCCTTCTTCGTGCAGGAGTATCAGTGATTCACGGAACCCTGGTGGCGTCGTGGTTATGTCTTAGGCTGCTAACCACAAGGTCGGCAGTTTGAAACCCCCAGCTGCTCCGCGGGAGACACACGGGGATTTCTTTCTACTCCTGGGAATTTAGTGTTGGAAACCCACAGCGGCAGTTCCACCTAGCCCTATGGGGTTGCCATGAGTCAGCATCAACTCCATGGCAGCATATTTGGTTTTGTTTGGGACCAGTGGTTCCGCAACCCTGGTGGCACGGTGGTTAAAGCTCCTGGCTTCCGGACTCAAGCCCACTTGCCATTCCATGGGAGAAAGAGGGGGCTGTGTGCTCCCACAGAGGTTGACAGCCTAGGAGCAGTTCTACTCTGTCCTTTAGGATCGCCATGGGCTGCCATCAACTCA